TGATTATGATGATTGATGAATGTTTTATTTATTTTTTTTATGTAGGAAGAAAGAAATAAGAAGTCACTTAAGTGAAGAGATACATAATTCAAGTAAAGTAGATTGCACTAAAAAAGACATTCAAGCTAGAATCTACTTTACTTAAGTGACATAAAGATCAAAGAATGAGTAAATGGTGCCACTCTATGCCAATAGAGATAGTTTTATAATGTCACCAATGTGGAAGGATTGATTCTTACATTCATCTTTGATATAGGTTTTACTTAGGCTCCTACCTTATTTTCTCTTCACTTTCCCTTTTACCAAAATTCTTCATCAATTTGTTGAATTCTTTGAATTTTTACCATGGATTGTGGTAACTAATCTTCTTGCTCATGGAGTTAATTTGTAGTTGAAGTTTAATAATGTAACTTGTTCTTTTTCTTTTAATTTTGTTTTATAGTTTCATCAACAAAACATTTATAACTGAAATATTACAATCTAGGTTTGAAATAGAACTTGTTAAACAATAATTTTCTAGGTATATAATTAAGGTTTGAAAATGATGACAATAAAGTTTGTGAAAAATTCCTCGAGTCATTCAAATAAGATACCAATGATAAAAGAAAACCCAAGAAGAAGCTCATGTAAAGAGAACATCAAACTCATTCTTTATGTAGTTTTAGTTTTTCCTTTAAAGTTTTCAATGTATAAAAGATAATTTTAAAGGAAAGGGTTAGTAATCTAAAGAAATTTCCAAATATAGGAAAAATTAGTGATTAAAACTTGTTTATCACTCTTCAACTTTAAAGCTTAGAAGCATCAACTTCAATAAATCAAATAAAAGAAAATATAAACTTCCAATTATGAAGAAAATAATGTTGATAATTCTTTCTTTAATTCATTTTTATTTATTGTATTATTTTACTTTCTCATATCCTTATTATTACAAGCAGTGTCGCATCTTCACCAATAATTTTAAGATGATTGAAATAATATGGTCAGCTAAATGTAATTTTAATGTCTATCTTTACGTAAAGTTATTAGAGCTCATCCTCCACACATTGCAAGATAGTATGAACAAAATTATCTTCTTCTTACAAGCATTCTACACCATTCTTACATTATCTTCTTCCTAAACCGTTCTACACCGTTCTTACCTTATAGGTGAACAAATTATATGAAACAACTCCATGAAAGAAATACACACCTCATGATAATGTTCTACCCTCGTAATGATAACGTGTGGTCCTCATGGATCCAGTTCAACCTATTTTATTGTTCTCCAAAATTCGAAGTTTGCTTTATTAACGTGTAGAATGAGAAGAACTGCAATCGTAAAATGTTAGAGTGAAGATCAAAATAAGCTAAACTAGTGAAGAAAGGGAATATATTTCACAAGCTGTGTATATACAGGTTCCAGAAAAAATGAAGCGCAAAAGAGTTTGAAGTGGTAACTGTTATCTACTCTGTAGATGAAAATATAACAATTCATTCCATGTATCTGGAACTCCTGGAAGACACCAATGGCTACAATCTTGAATCCTAGAAGATCGTGTTTTTCTCCCATAAACTGATGGGTGACCATCGATCCTATATGCTGACAAACTAGTTACATTCAACAATGTCACAGGAGTTTTCATTTGCTCTATTATCTGCTCTACGATGATGTTCTTCTCAGGATAACTAGTGCTTAATAAGGTTTCATTTAGAGGAAGAGTGGCTTCTGTACAATGCCCTCCAGAATTCCAATCACCACCTCTGTTGCAAAGGATTAACTTCACTAATCAGCTTCTCTGAACATCTTAAACTTGGGAAAATACAAGAGTTATTGTAGAATGAGGGAATATCAGAAACAAACCTGAAATGTGATGGTGCTGAACTTCGAAAGAAAACTCTGGTTTTTCGGTGATTGATGTGTCTGTCCACCCATGAAGACCAAATCGTTAAAGCTTTTCTGAAAGCTGTGGAAACATTTAGCTGGGGATGAACCACACTTCCTTCTTGGTAGTAATAAATCCTGTTAGAGAATCATAACTGTTATATACAGATCAGAGAAATACTGATGTGAATCATGTATGTAGTAATTAAGAATCATGTACAGTTTCATCTTCTCTAACATAATTAACACTTTGAAGTGCAAGTATTGAGTAATGCACACATCAGCAAAGGTTTCTTTCTAGGCCTACAAACTAAAGAAGGAAGAAAAGTGCTAACCCAGCTTTTGTTTTGTAATGTGACCACCAATGCGCAGTGTTGAAAACCAAAACATCAGCTCCCTTCCATCTTGATGAACCATGATCAATGGCATCAATTCGCAAGGTTGGTCTTCGTTTCTGCCCAACTCTTGCCTTGCTTTCATGAACTAAGAAATGACTGACATAGTATTCAACCGTACATTGATAATCCTGCAAGATTGAAAGGGTAAAGTATGAACACCTAATTCTCCAGGACCAGCCATACATCACAAAATAGAAGTACGGTTCTGCAGAATTACCAGAAACCTGAAACTATAATTTCCCTTCTCTTTCGTAATTTTCCTTCCATGGGTCTCATACACTCTCGATGGATCTTTAATACCACCCAATAACATGCACAACATTGATTCCCATTGGTTCCTATTAATCGAATCACCCACAAAAACAAGCCTTTTCCCTCTAATCAACTCCAGCATTTTAGTTGCATTGAACCTTCGCAAAAAAATCACAGTACCAAAAAGCAAAACTTTCATTTTCTTCCTAAATACTGCATCGGTAGAAAAGTAAACAAAGAAAAAAAAAATCCAAAAAGATTGATATTGGGAGTACCTCGGAATGTCACAGTCTTTGGGCTGCCATCTCCACTTAGAGTAGTCTCTATCCAATCTTCCATTCCCCACACAATCAAAACCTTCATCTATGAAAGGACACGAATCTTTGGAATAAAGGGCATAGCTTTCATCAAAAACCCAATACCCTTTTGTTAAATCACACCCTTCAACTCCCTTCTGCTCAATCTTTTTCAAAAAAGGAACTTGAGTATTCCCATCTAAACCTCCAGTTACTATCTTCTTCTGCTCGTTGCCGGGAACCCTCTCAGGCGAAGTTCCATACTCTCGCATTGCCGTGAAATTGACATTCGAAGCACCAACATCGTGTCGTACAGGTTCAGATTTGGATCCAGATAAGCTTTCCTGGGTCCTGGACAGACGGTTATCGATCAAAGTTGAAATTTTCTCACCACTCAGTGTGAAATTTTCGGTCAAGGAATGAACAAATAAAGGTGGGAGAGCCACACTGTCACCGTCACCGACAGAAGAGGATGAAGAAGTATTGGCAGTAGAAGTAGAAGTAGAAGAAGTGTTGAAATGAAGATGAATATGTTGGTGATTTGAAGGAGTGAAATTGGTTAGCCAAGTGGTGAAGGTGGAGAGGAAGAGAATCGAGGAAAAGATAGTGAATGAGAAAACCAAAAGCCTAGTGGGTTTGAAGGAGAAACTTCTCTGTCTCTCCATTGCCTAGAACTGTTCTTCAATACGAGTCAATGGGTAGTATCATACTTCATGCACGAATTATTACAGAAATTGCAAGAGAAAAAACTATTAAATATTAATTAGTGTAGAAAGAAGTTAAAGCCAGAAGCAATGTGAGTGACAACAGGCCGCTGGATTCAGAATAATAAATCTCTAATTTTCTGATAAGTACTGTCATCGGTTCACGTTGCAGAACTGGTAATGGGCCAAAAATGTTCCTTAGTTAATGTCATAACTAAAAAGAAAAAGGAAAATATAATAATATATTTAACAACTTTAAATATTGTATTTTTATTTTAAAATTTTATTTATTTTTATTATTATGGTTAAATATAATATTTTATTATTAAAAGAATGTAAAAGGAAAAAACAGGTTTGAAATCATAATTTTTCTTAG